TCTACTGTGCTCGATGCTGCTAACTCAAGAAACTGTCCCAATGCTGTCCTAGACAGCCTGAAGAGATATAAAAAAAATTTTGGAAGAAGTAGCTGCCTTTAATGCAGACTCTGCTAGATACATGACAAAATGTTTCAAGATTCTCCAAAGTCTCAACGAAGATCTTCTGCTATACAATGCTGGCCCCACAAGCTCCACCATGTTGGAAACACATTCCAGGAGAGCCTCCCAGAATTAAACTTGGCTGTAAAGCATGTAAAGAAAATATTCTTGAATGCTAGAAAGAGGAAAAATGAGTACTTGGTCTTCCTAAAAGACAAGTACCCTGACAACAAATCCAAATGGAAAGGATTTCCCTCTCCCATCATCACCAGGTGGAATTCATGGAAAAAGGGCTGTGAACTACTTGAATGAATTTTTTGATGACATCTTGGAGTTTCTGGAAGAAGAGTCTAAAAATGATGATCATAATTTTGAAGGGGAGGATGATGAAGAAACAGGCAGAATTGGAGGTAGTGTTGGGTGGCTGAAAACTCTGACCAGCCAGCAGAAGCAAAAATTTAAAAATATGCTGAATTTGTGGCAGTGAAGAGCAAAGGTGTGGAAAATTTCTATTAAACAGCTTCAAAGCAAAAAAAGCCAACTGGGCATGTCATCTACCAGAAACTCGATGCCATTGAAAGGAAGTTTGCTCTCATTATGTCAGAAAACTGTGGCTGCTTTAAGATCTGCCATTTTGGACTCTCTTCCTAGAAACAAACAAACTGAATACATTACCACTCTGCAAGCAGCAGCTAAAGCCGCCAGAGCAGCCTTAGTTAAATACAGCAAGTCGGACCCAGCAAGAAATTGTTCCTCAGCCTTGAGGCTTTGCTTAGCCCAAGGGCTCTAGGGAGGTCCCAAATTTCCCCCCTTTAATGATAAAAGACCACATGAAGAACATACCATTTGTCAAAAAACTATCATGTGAGGAATTCATGACTGGCCAAGCTGCTCTGATGCAAATGGTGCGGGAAGAGACCAACAAGCCAGACTTCAAAAGTATTAATGTGGTGAGCCTGCTCTGTGCCCTCAAAAATGGTCATCTTTCCTTTTCCAATGCTTGCCTCAAGGCTCTCTGGGTTCTGCCGGCTAACGCGAATTCCGAGCGCTCCATCAGCACCTACAACATCGTTGTTGATGACAGAAGACGCAAGTTGAAGCCCGAGAATTCGGAGAGGCTGACAATAGTCTACTTCAACATGAATGAATACAATACAGGGAAAGGGGAAGTGCTGACCAAAAAGTTGAAGAATCCCAGGAGGAACTGCTGACTCTCAACCTTTGGGTTTGGACTAGAACAGAATACAGATCCAGATGATTTGTGAATGAATTAAGGAGTAATTGAATTGTCAATTCAATTACTCCTTAATTCACAAATCATCTGGATCTGTATTCTGAATTGATAATTCTAACTTCCTAGTCCCACAAGTGTGATGATTGATTTAATAATTTATTGAATTAAACTAAGATTATTGTACTTCAAACAAAACTTATGTTTGAATACCTGTTCCTGTTGTTTTTAATGTTCCTTGCTCTATGCTATGCTTAGAGTTGTTGATATTTGTATTTGACATTTATTTTATGCATTGTGACAAATAAATGTGAGTTTTAATGAACATGCCTTTTCTTCCCTTACAAAAAATATTTAGGGGGAAAAAAAAAAGCATTTTTGGTAGCGCTAGGTACCTTTAACGTCAAAAACACCTATATTCAAGCATTTGAGAGAAAAATAGGGCATTTTCGTCGAATTCGCGATAAAACGCGATTTTTTTTGTTTTTAGAGCGAAAAATTCGGAGGTCATGCCGCGAAAAGTTCCTACCTCTGCCCATGAGTCGCAAGACACCATGAGAAGTTGTTCCAAAAATCACGGGGAATCGTTCCCATGGAAAGAATCGGCCCATGGCATCCCATGCCCCCATGGCTCATGGGATGCCCATGGTTTTTTTGGACTGGGGTACTCTTTAATTTCAAAGTAAGTTATCCGCTTTTCCCTTATTTTTGAAGAAACCCTTTATACTGTTGTCTTGATTTGTTTTTTAAATTTTTTTTACAAATTCTAGGGTTACATTGAAGAGGCGGCATGAAAATGATAATTCGATTATAATTGAGAACCCCACTTGTTGTTTGAAGTGGGCGGCAACAGCTCAAGAAAATAAAAATATGTCTATTCTGGACTTCCAGTTATTGACGGAGTCACTAACTTCATTACATCTCCTTTTGTTTACAATTTCAAGAACCTATAAAGCCCCAATCCGACTGACTCACTCACTGACTCACTGACTCACTGACTCACTCATAGAAAAGTTTGGGGTCAAGGAGTGGTCGTGAGACTTGCGGTTTTTTCCATTCGATTCCAAAATTTTTTGGGAAAATGGGGAAAAAACCCCAAAAATTGAAAATTCCTCACCGTTTCCGAGAAAACCTACTTTATCTACAAAAAAGGGGAACAAATTTCTCACGTTTCCGAGCAAACCTACTCAATCTTCAAAAAAGGGGACCGACCGACTAAAAATTTTTTTTCGCCCATCGGTAGGTCTGGTCGAGACATTTCCGAAACTGTGCCGCAATCGGGTCCCCCTCACCGGGAACATCCTCAAAAACGATTAAATAGGCCTAAATTCAACAAAATCCACTCAATCTTCAAAAAAGGGGACCGACCGACTAAAAATTTTTAGTCGCCCCATCGGTAGGTCTGGTCGAGACATTTCCGAAACTGTGCCGCAATCGGGTCCCCGTCACCGGCAACATCCTAAAAAACGATTAAATAGGCTTAAATTCAACAAAATCCACTCAATCTTCAAAAAAGGGGACCGACCGACTAAAAATTTTTATTCGCCCCATCGATAGGTCTGGTCAAGACATTTCCGAAACTGTGCCGCAATCGGGTCTCCGTCACCGGCAACATCCTCAAAAACGATTAAATAGACCTAAAATTATTCAACAAAATCCACTCAATCTTCAAAAAAGGGGACCGACCGACTAAAAATTTTTAGTCGCCCCATTGGTAGGTCTGGTCGAGACATTTCCGAAACTGTGCCGCAATCGGGGCACCGGCACCGGCAACATCCTCAAAAACGATTAAATAGGCCTAAATTCAACAAATCCACTCAATCTTCAAAAAAGGGGACCGACCGACTAAAATTTTTTAAACGCCCCATCGGTAGGTCTGGTAGAGACATTTCCGAAACTGTGCCGCAATCGGGTCTCCGTCACCGGCAACATCCTCAAAAACGATTAAATAGGCCTAAATTCATTCAACAAAATCCACTCAATCTTCAAAAAAGGGGACCGACCGACTAAAATTTTTTAGTCGCCCCATTGGTAGGTCTGATCGAGACATTTCCGAAACTGTGCCGCTATCGGGTCTTCGTCACTGGCAACATCCTCAAAAAACGATTAAATAGGCCTAAATTCAACAAAATCCACTCAATCTTCAAAAAAGGGGACCGACCGACTAAAAATTTTTATTCGCCCCATCGGTAGGTCTGGTCGAGACATTTCCGAAACTGTGCCGCAATCGGGTCCCCGTCACCGGCAACATCCTCAAAAACGATTAAATAGGCCTAAATTCAACAAAATCCACTCAATCTTCAAAAAAGGGGACCGACCGACTAAAATTTTTTAGTCGCCCCATCGGTAGGTCTGGTCGAGACATTTCCGAAACTGTGCCGCAATCGGGTCTCCGTCACCGGCAACATCCTCAAAAACGATTAAATAGACCTAAAATTATTCAACAAAATCCACTCAATCTTCAAAAAAGGGGACCGACCGACTAAAAATTTTTAGTCGCCCCATTGGTAGGTCTGGTCGAGACATTTCCGAAACTGTGCCGCAATCGGGGCACCGGCACCGGCAACATCCTCAAAAACGATTAAATAGGCCTAAATTCAACAAAATCCACTCAATCTTCAAAAAAGGGGACCGACCGACTAAAAATTTTTAATCGCCCCATCGGTAGGTCTGGTAGAGACATTTCCGAAACTGTGCCGCAATCGGGTCTCCGTCACCGGCAACATCCTCAAAAACGATTAAATAGGCCTAAATTCATTCAACAAAATCCACTCAATCTTCAAAAAAGGGGACCGACCGACTAAAAATTTTTATTCGCCCCATCGATAGGTCTGGTCGAGACATTTCCGAAACTGTGCCGCAATCGGGTCCCCGTCACCGGCAACATCTTCAAAATCAATCAATTGTCATCAAGAACATATAAAGCCCCAAAATCCGACTGACTGACTCCCTCACTCATCAATCAAGAACCTATATAGCCCCAATCCGACTGACTCACCCACTGACTCACTCACTCATTCACTCATAGACATGTTTGGGGTCAAGGAGTGGTCGTAGAGACCTGCGGGTTTTTTCATTCGATTCCAAATTTAATGGATTATTTGAGAAACATCTCAAAAGTTGAAAATTTCTCACTGTTTCCGAGCAAACCTACTCAATCTTCTAAAAAGGGGACCGAATGACTATAAAATTTTATTCGCCCCATCGGTAGGTCTTGTCGAGAATTTCCGAAACTGTGCCGTAATCGGGACCCCGCCACCGGCAATTGGGCAATCATCATCAAGAATCTATATAGCCCCAATCCGACTGACTGACTCACTCACTCACTTACTCACTCAAAGAAATGTTTGGGGTCAAGGAGTGGTCGTAGAGACCTAAGGTTTTTTTCGTTTCACCTCTATCCTTGTCAAAGCAGTCTTCAATATTTTCCGGACCTTGTATGCACCCATTGACTGCCACAGTAGCAAATGCAATACAAGCTATGTATTTGGGCAGTAAAAGTAGCCTTATTATATGGTCAAAAGCGGTTAAATAGAGCTTTCAAAGAAGCAGGACATTTACTTCCTTAGAAAATTTGCCTTTGGTCACCACGGACTTACTAAATACTCCGGCACGCGCTCCACACATGCGGAGGTCTGGGGGCGGAGCCCCCAGCGAGCAGCGCGAGTTAGATAAATGTAAGTAGACTCATCTCTTGTTTCACCCTATCTTATTTAAATTATGACTTATCTGATTGTTTTTCTTTTAATCTCCTCATTTCAGACAAGTAATTTGGAGATGGAGCAATATGTGGCCCTCGTTTATGATTCTGGACACCACATTTTGGTTTTGAGTTGCCCGAAGCAGTCACTGAACACTATTTTTGTTTTGTTCTGATCTCGACATTGTCGATAGAGTCCAACTCATCACTGCATCTTCTTTTATGGACTATTTTTATAAAATGTGAGTACTCTCCTCTTCTATTTTATCATAACATATTTAATTGATTAATTTATTGATTGTTTTTCTTTTATTGTCCTCATTCCAGACAACTTATCAAGAAATGGAGTAATATGTAGTTATGGATCACCACATTTATAACTTCATGTTTCCCGCAGCAGCCACTGAAAACAACTTTTGTTTTGTTTTGATCAGGACATGTCCACAGTCCACAGTCCACTTCATCACAACAACTATTTTATGGAATATTTAAACAAAATGTAGGTAGATTCTCCCCTCATGTTATTGTAGTGTAGGGCACTAATAGTGATGAGGAACGGATAAGTGACGAGAGAGAGTAGGGATTCACTGGTATATTAGGGAGGTGCGCACAGACCGAGACCAGGCTACAGACTGTTAGTAGTATAGGTAGGACTTTTGGACACTTGTCTCCTGGGTCGGACTTTTGGACACCTTGAGCGTGGGTAACCTAACCGAACCTAAGCAGGTCTGATCTTGAGCGTGGGTAACCTAACCGAACCTAAGCAGGTCTGGACCCGCCCCTGGGTCGGACTTTTGGACACCTAAGCAGGTCATCATCTTGAGCGTGCGTAACCTAACCGAACCTAAGGTGGACCAGCCTCGGTGCGCTCCCCTCTGGTTCCGCCGCTGGTGCCGCGAGGCGAAGCCGCGGCGCGCTCCCCTCCCTCGGCCCGCCCCTGCCATCGCGCCGCGGCCAGGTGTGGAGCGGTCCCGCCAGCTCGCCGCGAAGCCGCGTGCACCTGCCCGCGAGGCGTGAAGCCGGTGAGCACCCCTGTGCCGCCAGCGGTCCTCCGGTGGGTCTTGGAGTGGTCCACGGTGCGCCGCGCGCACCACGGGGCCGTGCAGCAGCTCGCAGCAGAGCGCCGTGAAGCAGCGCCACGTAGTGGCCGCCGCGCTAACTACTGGCCTCAACAATGCTCACCGCGTGCCACTGCGCATCGCTTCTGCGCAACGCGCCGCAGCGCGCCGAAGCAGACGCCGCTCGTCAAAGCTTCATTTCTCTTTTACCGACTCTTATTTCTCTCATCACCCAATGGAATTATGATCGGAACAGTATTTCCTATCGCCTCGTGCACTCTGATTTCTTTAATGTGGTCCTCGCTGTTGATAAACACAAGTTCCGTGCCGGCTGTCTGAAGGCTTTAGCCTCGAACCCAAAGCCGACGGAGCGCAACAGGTTTTTAGTGTTTTTAACCGTGTATCAACGATTCCGAAGAGAAAAAATACTGCGAGACGATTTTAAATGATGAATGCAACCAACTTTTCTTTTCGGCGCGTTCAAAATCACTCGCAATCTCGCTATGAGAGTAACGCGTCCGGGAGGTTCGCTGTGATTCGTCTAAAATACCGATTTTTGGCCAATGAGCGAAAAGCGCGCGAAACCCCCTCCCCGCCGGCGGGAGGAAAAGGGGAGGGGGTGGTGGATAAATTGAGGCGCGCCGGCCCAGCGCGGCACTTGTGTTTTCGCCGCCACCGTCGTGAGTCCTAGTCAAGATGAGCCGCACCTGGAGGACGGGGGACTTCAAGCGCGCGCGTTTGTCAGAGAGTAGCAGCGAGGACGACTTCGGCCACCCCATGGACGTCGTCCAGATAGATCTGGACGAGTTGGAGAAGGATCTCGAGTTGGTGAGTAGAGTGTGTGATTCTCGTTGTGGCGAAGCTCCACCTGTTTGTCCTCCCGGTGCGATAACCTCGCTCGGTAGGATTTTTCTAAGGCGGAAGCTATGCCCGATTTCGTACCGGTGCGAGGCCGTTCGACTCTCTGTAGAGCCGTGGCGTTTCCTCGCACCGTATTTTCTTATTCAAATCGGTAACCTCCAAAATTTATTTTCCCTTCCAGCTCTGTTGAGTGTAGTGTTCGTTCAAACCGCGTCATGTTTTAACTTGTCTGCCTCGCCCGTGCCACGCTACGCCGTGCCGGGCAGGCTGTGTCCGTTACGTTCAAACCGCGTCTTGTTTTAACTTGTCGTTGGCCGCCGGCCGGCGTGTCCGTTTGTCCGGCGCGCGCTTCTCGGAATCGCGCCACGCCACGCCGTGCCATGGCTGGCTGTGCTGCGCCGCGCAGTAGATTGTGTCCTAACGTCTCGTTCTTGATCTCCGTCATGCTCCCCGTGTCCCCGCCTCGTTTGAGGCGTTTCCGCGAGCGTGGGAAACCTTTCCCGCCGGCGGCCGGGGCGCAGTCAGCTGACTGCCGCGCCGACTCGCTCTCTCTCGCACCTCAGGCTGGCTGTCGGCTTGCCGCGCCGCCCCTCCCCTACAGTGTACCGGCGCTGCGCGGTGCAGCGCTGGGCCGGGGTTCGAATCCCAGTCGTGTCTCGCGTCGCGCTCGGTATAGTTAGTCTTACTGGTGAGGTATAGTTCGTCCATGTGGGTGGGTGGGAGTGACGCTGCCATGGAGGCCCCGTCAACGTCTGTGTAAGTCAGCTGCCTTGCGCAGCTCAACAGTGCTTGCTTGCTTGCTTCTGAAATTCTCGCTAAAGCATGTGTTTTGCTTTCTTGAAGTTTTTGAAGCTTTCCCTCATGCTGTACGTTTCCACGTGTATTCAGTGCTAAAGAAATGTGAATACAATCGGAATCGTACACCGTGTTTTCGCACGCCAATATCTGCGGTTCCACTGAGAACGGCCGGTAATGGCATGTGATTTTCTTTGTGTTTTGCCTTGAAAACTAATCGATTCTTTACCCTTAATGGTTTCAGTCCACATCGAGCGGAGATGAGAGTGAGAGCGCGCAGCACCCCTGGGAGGTCCAGCAGGTTACAACTCCGCCCTCCCCGTCGCACGTACCCGCACCACCTGCTTCCTGGCTGCCGCCCCTCCCCACCGGCACTCCACCTGCTTCATGGCTGCCACCCCTCCCCACCGGCTGCACCTCTCCCAGAGCTGCCCCTGCGCCCTGGCACCCCGAGGGACGAGCCGGCTGTAAGTGCTTTTACACCCTATATTTTCGATGTACTTTTCTCGCCGTTGTCAAGTCACGTTCCGTTAACTGCACTTTTGATCAGGGTTGTTAAAGTTAATTTAACGATTAACGACGATAATCGATTTTCGATAAGTTAATTCAACGGTTAACGTTAACTCGATAACATCTTGCAGACCAGTTATCGTTATCGAGTTATCGTTAACACAATCCGGTAACTAGCGTTAACTAAGTAACTAATTCCCCCAAATTGTAGAAATGCACGCAAAATTTTTCAGCAAAAACGTTTCTGACGTTCGTATTTTTGCGCCGCTGGCACTCCGCCGTGCCCAATCGCCGGCCCCAACGGTAATGGGAGTCAAGTCAGTACTGGGAGTAAGTCGTCACTTAGTAACGCGCTAGTCAGTCAGTGTAAGTTTGTAGAACTTTCAATTTTGATCTTTTTAACTCCCTATTTATAATTGTATTCATTTTATCAGTTAAAGATAGGTAATGCATACATAATAGTCCAATTAGACATTACTTTTGGGTATTTAATGTTGTGTTTTATTGTCCTTCATTACTCCATTTAAAAAAAGTTAGTTACTTTGAACGATTTTCGTTAAAAGTAACTTATCGATAACTCGATAATGTGGCTGAGAAGTGTTAACGTTCTCGTTATCGTAACAGGAGTCGGAAATTAACTTAACAATTACTCGATAACCAAAAAAATTAACTTTAACAACCCTGCTTTTGATTCACTGAAACCGCAAGTAATGGATCGTGTGACGAAAGGGTTGGAACTTGTTACTAACTGCATCGAATTTGTTCTGTTTCAGGAGGATCCTGATAAGGAGAATAGGGCGCCGTCCCCCTGGGAGGAGGAGGAGAAGGCCCAGGTTTCACCCCCATGTGAAGCTGAGGCTCTTGACTTCATGCACGCGTGGCTGGAGCAGTGTCGGATGCCGCCGCCGCCGCCCCCACGCGATCCGGGGCCAGGAGGACCGGCTGTGGCACGCAAAGTGCCGATTAAACCGCTCGCCCCGTACAAGGACGATGGGGTGAGTATCTGCATGTTTGTTTTTTGTTTTTTTTCCCGTCCCTCGCTCCTTTTTTACGCTAGTTTTCGAAAATTTCAGTCGGTCCTTTTACCGCCGTCGCCCCCGCCGTCGCCCCCTCCACCCCCTCAGCCCGAGCCTCTGCCTCAATTTCCTGACGGGGTGGCGCCTGGTGGTTCATGTGCTGTAAGCCCTTTTTTCCCCTCACGTGCATGTACCACGTCAATGTGTCTAACCATGTTTTTTGTTCATCTGTTCATAGGTCCCAACACCATGGGTGGGGGCAAACGCCCAGGACCCCCTCGGGCTGTTAACGCCAGTGCCCACTAAGAGTAGCACTCCTCGCCGTAAATCATCATCAGTATGCACGCAGACGCCAGTACGTCGAACGAAGGAGAAGTCGACTCAGACTACTGGACCTGCTACTTCAGCTGCTGTCAGCCTTCCCTCTGCTACTTCAACTGTTGCCAGTCCGCCTGTCAACCTTCCCTCTGCTACTTCAACTGCTGCTTCAACTGCTGCCAGTCCGCCTGTCAACCTTCCCTCTGTGGTGCCATTGATGTCAGTCCCTCGGCCTGCGTTAGTCGTTCCCCCCAGGCGCATCAGAGTGATGCCCCCTTCCCCTTCGTCTATGCCGCGTCTTCGTGAGGTGTGTACTCTATTTTCCCTACTTTCGTGTATGACCATTTTTTTTTCAGTGTCTAATCACAGATGAAAATTTTGTTGTAGACTGTCCCAGTACCCTACCCTCACCATTGGCCGCGCAGGGCTTGGCCTAGATATTACTCAGTGCGGGGGCCGAGACCTGGGTCCTACTGGACCAGCCGTGGGCCAGTTGAAGACCAATTCTAATTTTCTTCCGTGGGCCTGTTGAAGCCCATTAAGCTTTTTTTTGATTCTTGATCTTCTCGTAAAACTTTTTTGGATGAGATCTTCTTCTTCTCGTAAAACTTTTTTGAGATGTTGTTTAATTTTCTTATCAAACTTTTTTTTTTGATGAGATCTTCTTCTTCTTCTTCTCGTAAAATTTTGGAGATGTTGTTTAATATACGCTTTTATTAAAGAAATCTTTCATTCTAAACAGTGTCTTGTGTTTCCTTTCCGCAACTTTTCTATCGAGTCACCTTTATGAGACAGAACTTCTCTACGAGTTAACTTTCTTTGAGTCAAACCTACTCTTGATTTCAAATTCATTTTCTTATTCGCTTACTGCACAACTTTTTCTGATTCAACTTTTCGACTCTGCTTGACACACTTGAAGCTTTTCCGAAATAGAGTTACGAGTCAACTGATTGAAATAATTTGAGCTACGCTTCCATTCTCTAACAGCACTACAAGATCAAATGTGTGCTTAGTACACAGCTATGGGAGCGTACTTGCAAGCACACATCTATAGCTGTATGCTTGGCCAAGCACACATCTATAGGTGTGTGCTTGGCAAGCACACAGCTACAGGTGTATGCTTGGCAAGTACATATCTATAGGTGTATGCTTGGCCAAGCACACTTTAATCCCACCCATTTAATGGCATACACCTACAGATGTGTGCTTGTCCAAGCATACATCTATAGATGTGCACTGTGGCAAACGGAAAATTCTGTAAGCAGCTTGTGGGAATTCTCCGTAGCCCCCTTATCAATCTTCTCCGTAGGCTCTTACAGTATTTTCCGTAGGACCGCACAGTATTCTCCGTAGGACCTTACAGTGATCTCTTTGGCAGGCTGCCTTCCTTGGCAGACCGTGGCAATGGGCGTGATCCCCTCCAAAAGAGCATTTGCTCATCAAAATCTACACTTATGTGGCTAAACTTTCGGTCGGAGGTCTGAATGGGTTCTATTTTCGTTATCAGCAGCCTCAAAAACATTTAAAACGACATTGAACTTGACAAAAAGTTGAAAGTTCCAAAAAAATTGTCTTTTTCCTGCCGTTTTTAAAGTGTTTTTTGGCTAATATGACCGAATGGATTGAGATAGAAAGCTGAATTTTGGTGTGTGGCGAGCCAAGGATATGCCCAATGACCCTGCAAAATCTCAGTAGAATCGGCCGAGCCGTTTAGGAGGAGTAGTGCGGACACACAGACACACACACAGACAGACAGACAGACAGACAGACAGACATCAACCCCACTGGAGTAACAGGCTTCGCTATCGCTCAGCCAATAAAGCATGATCAGACGTTTCCATTTCCGTCTCGGAAACATCATTTGGACATCTGGTTCAGTTTCTATGGCTGTTTTTAGAAAAATCCGTAAAAGTCGAATTTTCGAATTTTCAACGTCGATGCGCGAGGGTCAAGCTTTCAGTTACAGACCTGGCCCAGATCGCGTTGAGTTTGTATGGCCATGAAGTAACTTTGGCGCGTTATTACGTTTGCGATAGCGAAAAATCGTGTTTCACGGCCCACCCTAATGGTCACACGGTGGACATTTTCCCATAGGTTGTTTCGGGTTCAACAAGTGATGATACGAAGGTCACCTTCCGTAATTTTGTGAAGAATAAGTCACGGAAGAGAGAGAAATAGCCAGTTTTCTTTTGATGTGGTTGAGTCACATACTACAGCATGGCAATGTTGTCTTAAAGGTGTTGGTGAGCATGACGGAACTTACAAAACGACACTTTAGCAGCTTACAAAACCTAGAAAAACCAAAGGTAGATTGACTTATCCACATGAGGACATGGTCTTTGTTTAGTAAAACAAATTTGAATTGCCCAAGCTACGAAATCAACCTCAGTTCAGGCGCAAGGCCCCGGTGACCTGAAGTGACCCCCTACGCACGGAATCCCCCTGAACGGCTCGGCCGATCTGGCTGAGATTTTGCAGGCTTATGAGGTATGTCCAAGGCTCGGCACACGCGAAATTTCACCATCCTAGCTCAAGTGGTTCAGTTTTTATAGCCGAAAAACACCTAAAAAAAACGGCGAAAAATCGAGTTTTCTGCAGGCAGATCACTTCTGTCTTGAAGAAAGGGGTGTCTGGGGGGCGGAGGTCCCCAACCTCGACAAGTTAAAAAGTTACAAAGGTCAAGATCGTGTTATCTGTAGATTAAGCAACTCTTTCTAGAATTAAGGGGGGTCTGGGGGGCGGAGCCCCACAGCATGCAACACGTAAGAAGTAACCGACGATGGACAAGCCAATGCCTGCCGAAGGCAGGCTAGCGCCGCAGGCCAAGGTAGGTACGCCAGGCGCGGATTGGAGGAACAGGCCGCGAGACATCGCGAAGCCTGTTACGACAAGACGCGGTCTGGCGTAAACCTACCTTGTTTTATAACAACTCCCTCATCTAGTAACAATAATGTAATCGTGATTCAAAACAGTTGTGCTGTCGTTGGACAGGTTTTCTGTTTAGAAACAGACCAAGTGTAAGTTTTAATACATTGTTGTCAGGTTACAAAGATCTTGTTTAACAAGGTAGGTATACGCCAGACCGCGTCTTGTCGTAACAGGCTTCGCGATATCTCGCGGCCTGTTCCTCCAATCCGCGCCTGGCGTACCTACCTTGGCCTGCGGCGCTAGCCTGCCTTCGGCAGGCATTGGCTTGTCCATCGTCGCTTACTCCTTACGTGTTGCATGCTGGGGGGCCCCGCCCCCCAGACCCCCCTTTATTCTAGAAAGAGTTGCTTCATCTACAGATAACACGATCTTGACCCTTGTAACTTTTTAACTTGTCGAGGTTGGGGACCTCCGCCCCCCAGACACCCCTTTCTTCAAGACAGAGGTGATCTACCTGCAGAAAACTCGATTTTTCGCCGTTTTTTAGGTGTTTTTCGGCTATAAAAACTGAACTAGTTGAGCTAGGATAGTGAAATTTCGCGTGTGCCGAGCCTTGGACATACCTCATAAGCCTGCAAAATCTCAGCCAGATCGGCCGAGCCGTTCAGGAGGAGTAGTGTACACACACAGACACACAGACAGACAGACGGACAGAGAGAAGAAACTTTTCAACCGCACTGGAGTAACAGGCTTCGCTATCGCTCAGCCAATAACAGCACGATGAGATCAACACAAATATTGCAAAGACGTCATCGAATCGGTTCCTTGTATGCATTTGACACGAGATGAGATAGACGCCAGAAGAAGGTAGTTAGAGAGAAAAAAAAAGGCCACTTGGCCGGTGATTGATAGCTCACAGTTCCTATGATGATTGACACAGAGGTTTGAAATTTTGACGGGACCTTGACGTATGCTTTGGTAGCATTTGAACCAAAAAAGAACGCAATCGCCGATGGTCACCTTCAAACGGCACTAAAAGGCCTCAGTTTTTGTCCCGTCCCGTTTATTTTTTGTAAAATAATGACGGAGGGACGGGCATATAGTATGATGCATGCTGTGCGTCCGTTCGTTCGTCCGTTCGTCCGTTCGTCCGTTCGTTCGTCCGAGGACTTCCCGTGGTCCGATCTTGACCAAATTTGGTATGCAGCCCCCTTGGGTGACCCTAAGAACCGCCCGGTGGCAGCAAATCCGATCCGAGCCCCGGGGGCGCTGCTGCAGGTGCATCATGGTCTAGGTCGAGGAGAATTTCGGCAACGGATACAGCTAACAGGGCATGTAGGGGTATTTTTGGAATCGGGGCGACGAGACAAAACCAATGACGCCAGTTTCAAGCGAATCGAAGAAGTTTGGACCCGGGTTCAATTTCCAGTGGGGTATATTTTGAACATTCTTTTTATTCGAGTTTTTGCATTGTTTCTTATGTTTTTGATGACGGAAATAACATCCATTTTGACCCCAGACTCAGGTTCAAACCCGTCAGGGCTAAACAAAGGCGAAATTCACACATTTGTTAATGTACGGGACGGGCCAAAGTTGCCGATGTATATCGCTACTTTTCCTGTTAGGTTATTGTAAAAAAATGACGGAGGGACGGGCATATAGTATGATGCATGCTGTGCGTCCGTTCGTTCGTTCGTCCGTTCGTCCGAGGACTTCCCGTGGTCCGATCTTGACCAAATTTGGTATGCAGCCTCCTTGGGTGACCCTAAGAACCGCCCGGTGGCAGCAAATCCGATCTGAGCCCCGGGGGCGCTGCTGCAGGTGCATCATGGTCTACATGGGGTCGAGGAGGATTTCGGCAACGGATACAGCTAGTAGGGCATGTAGGGGTATTTTTGGAATCGGGGCGACGAGACAAAACACATGGTGCCAGTTTCAAGCGAATCGAAGAAGTTTAGACCCGGGTTCAAATCCCAGTGGGGTATATTTTGAACATTCTTTTTATTCGAGTTTTTGCATTGTTTCTTATGTTTTTGAGGGCGCTGATGACGGAAATAACATCCATTTTGACCCCAGACTCAGGTTCAAACCCGTCAGGGCTAACCAAAGGCGAAATTCACACATTTGTTAATGTACGGGACGGGCCAAAGTTGCCGATGTATATCGCTACTTTTCCTGTTATTTAAAACAGTGAAATTGAGCAATTTCGGGACCTAAAACTGGCCGAACCCGATCTCGTAGAGCCTCGTGCGACACGGCATTCGAATGAGCACACATTTTTGCGTACCTGAGACCCATTTGGGTCTCAAACCCCCCAAACCCTCGACAACAGCCATTTTTGGGGTGTTTAGACCCATACCTAAACCACAGGAGGTGTCGGGTTTCATCCAAGTGTTTTTTCGGCAGTTCGAATGCATACAAGGAACCGATTAAACACCATAGGTGCCCGCTTCTAGGATGTCGCCGGCCTTTTTTTAGGGGTTCCCAAGAACCCCTATTGTCCGAGGTCCGTGGATTCCTCCCCCCCCCCTCTTCGATTTTCAAATAAACACCCGATTGACAAATCTCGTGACTAAAGACGTCCCAAGAATGTCCCCCCAGGAACGAGGAACGTTCCTTTAGGTACTACGCAGGGAGCTCCCCAATGGCAACGGGGCGTGTTCCTAGGAACGTACCTGGTCATAATCCCTACGACCATCCTAGGTAGTTCCTGCAGAAACGTTCCCAGTGGGATGTCCTGGGAACATGAAGGCGCGGCGTGCACAAGATGTACTTTTTTCGTACCCGGAGGCATGTTCTTGTGGGAACGTTCCTTTCGGCACAGCCTGGGGATGTGACGGCAAGGCATGTGGCCGTGACTGCTGCGTGCCCTCCGTTTGAGCGGTAGCACGACACAGCGAAAGAATACCATGGGCCAAGATCGTCACCTTTCATATTTCATGGGTCAAGGATTCGATTTGCAGTCGATTGGCAATATCAGATTTTAGATTGGACGCATAGTTTTAATGTTTTAACTGTTTTGAGAAATGACGTTGGAGACTTCGACGCACGGGTAATCGTCAAGCGACCACTGGAAGGTCCATCATACGTGCACGTGGACACGTGCTGGACATGTCTCTGAAAGGACGTGACCTGTACAGCCCATCTGGAACGAGTACCGAACGCACATGCCTAACACGTGACTGTGGTCACGGCCAATGTACAAAACACAAAGGACGTGAGGGGATAGTACCATCTGCAACGCGTTTCACACTATGGCTGGTTGTATCCGCGGGGGCGTGACAATGACGTGACTGTCGGCATGATCCCGATAGGCACGTGATGGAGACGTCACTACCAGTACGTGCCCCAGGGAACGGCCCGGTTACGCCCGGGCGAAGTTCCCTCAGGTATGATCCCTAAGACCTCCCGCCAGAAATGGTCCCTCCCACATCCCCTGAGGACTGCCTCAGGAACTGCTCCCAAAGTGGTTCCTTCAGGAATGGGAACTAGTTTTGTCAACCGGGCAACGCTAAACTATTTCAACTATAAAAAAAACGAAAATTCCAATTTTTTTTCGAAAATTCATCGTGGATATTTTCCGTAAACGCGAAAAACATAAATTTGAAACAATCGAAAACCAGAACCGTTCATGATATGAAAAAATGGTTCAAATAAAAAATGTACCACTCCTCAAAACTAAACCTCCTGGCTCATCAAAGTGACAAGAAATTGTCTGTGTTCTGAGAAAATGGTTAAAACATGAAAAAAAAATCGCCATGGCAACGACACGACACCATCATGCCAACTTGTCAAAATTTAAAGTGACCCATCAAAAGAAATCAACACGCCGTGAAATTCGAAAATGCCAATGCTAGCGCATTGCACTGTGTCTTGACATTGGAACATCTTTGAAATCCGTCATTGGTAAAACGTTCGTAGCAGAAAAGACGCAATAAATTAATTTTCGTGGGTTGGCAACAATTTTCTCGGTGTCTGCGCCCTTTCGAAAATCGCGAGACTGAAAAAACGAGTAGTCGCGCATTGAAACTGCCCCTTCATTGTTGCTGAGGTTGGATTGTTTGGCATGCTTCTAAAGGCTGCGGTTGACTTGTCATGTTCTCCTCAATTCTGTGACCAGCTAAACGGTTGGTTTGACAAACCGCACTCGCACTCCGTAATAAAGGTGTTCTTAAGGAAGGCCCAAAGAGTACCCACCCGTTGAGGGAGAACGATTAGCCGCTTTAGATTAGTCGCAGTGGGTGCCTAAAGTCAGCTCAAACCACGATTTCTGCACATTTGTTACCGTTTCAACAAACTTTGCTGCAATACCGCCCCCAAACTAAGGCGGCTAATCGCACTCCGCAACAAAGGTGTTTCAAAGGAAGGCCCAAAGAACACCCACCCGTTGAGAGAGAACGATTAGCCGCCTTAGATTAGATGCAGTGGCTGCCTAAAGTCAGCCCAAACCACGATTTCTTCACATTTGTTACCGTTTTGACAAACTTTGCTGCAATACCGTTCCCAAACCAGGACTCCTTTTTATTGGTATTTCAAAACTTACTTTTAAACCAGTTATGAAACTGGGAACACCCTG